TCTCTCCCAGAGAACTGAAGCAAGACCAGCCGGTCAAGGCCTGGTACAACTGTTTCGGCGGCCAGCCACAGATGGTCACCCATGTCAAGGTCGTACGTGCCACGGGACTGGAAAAGTTGGACAGGGCTGGAGGTAGGTGTTTGGTTTTGTTTTGTTTTGATTTTTTAATTTTTAATTTTTTTTTAAACCAACTACCCGCGGGCGGTGCTACTGACTCTAGTGTCTTTAGGCCACTCTCAAAGGGGGGAAATTAACATCTCGAGTTCTTAGGCACAGTAGAATTATAAATTGTAAATGGGCTGATTTATCAATGGCATGCTCATAACTGTGCCGGAACTGCAACAGGGAACTGCTGCTTTTTCTTTCCTCATCCTTACTATCGTCATTTTTCTTCTACTTCTTTTGTATGTTTGTCACACTCTTGTGAACTGCTGTTTCCGGGGTGCCTTGATAGTCGAAGCAGACTTTGTGCTGTTGAAGCTAGAGAGGTGAGCAGAGTAAGCCTGATTCCCCGTTTGGACTTTTCTATTGACATCCACCCCTTGGTGCTCATATGACCTCGTGCAGTTGCAAGCGCCGTAAAAACTCGCATAAAATTTTTTAAAACCCAACCCATACTGTGGTGGTAAAAAAACGATCAGGCACCTGAATTTTTTCACCTTAACTTGTCTGCCAATTGCCAGACGAATTAATTTGATTGAATCGGGGCGTGCTAGATTTTCTCCATCGAGAGTGAAAAAGCTACCATTTTTGCAGAATAAGACTGATTCCATTCATTCATGCCCTTGAAAAACTTGAAAGTCATTAAGAATTTTGTCAGATTTGGTTCCATGTGAGTGTGCACATGCGAAAACTCCCTGAATCATAAACAACCTTCAAAAGGATCCTTTTACTTTATGGATTTGAACCAGGGATATGCATATATGGATATTGTAGTCTTTACCAAGGTACCCACTGAGCTATTGGGGAGTTTTTTCTGAAATGTGCCAACTCAAGGCAGTGCCTCTTTGTGAGTTAGAGTGCTAATGTTTGGACAGTCATTGGTGAAAATGAACATTGGTGTTGTGTGCGCAAATAATCTCTCTCTCTGGTCGGCAGGTGCTCTGGTGCGGTTTGCTCCTTCTTTCCTATCAAACATCTATCGTCCTGGTCTCTCCTCCTTTTGTGTTTGTTACTCTCTTGTAACACCTCTAGTGTTCGGCATTTATATGACCTTATTGTGTAACTGGGCTGATTTATCTATGTCATGCTCGTACTGTGCCGAAACAACATAGGGGGAACTACGTTTTTTTCTTTCCTCATCCTTACTATCGTCATTTATCCTCTACTTCTTTTGTATGTTTGTTACTCTCTTGTGACCCGCTATTTCCGGGATGCCTTAATAGTGAAAGCAGACTTTGTGCTGTTGAGATTAGAGAGGTAGGCAGAGTTAGTCTGATTCCCCGTTTGGACTTCTGTTGACATCCACCCCTTGACGCTCATATGACCTTATGCAGTTGTGAACGCTGTAAAAACTTTACTAAAAAGGATCTCTCTTGTAACAGTAACACCTCAAATCTTCAGCACTTATATTTCCTTATTGTGTTGCAAGTGCCATAAAACTCTTACTACTAAAACTAACAGACTTTGGTTTTCCGTGTGTGCCCACGTTAAAACCTTACTAAAACAACAAAACTCTTACTAAAACTAACTAATGGCCTTTGGTTTGCCTCGTGTGCCCAGGTTGAGCTGAACCGAGAGCAGCGCCTCCACGACATGTTCCTGCAGGAGAAGGTGGCGTCCACCGTCTACCGGAACAGTCGCTCCGTCTTCCTGCGGCATGGGCCGATGAGGAAGGGCCGCTACGTGGTGGTGCCATCCACGTTTGACGCCGGCATCGAGGCCAGCTTCCTGCTGCGTGTCTACACCAGCACCTTCAACAACTTCAAGTAAGACTGTTTTGAGATATATGTGTATATAAGTGAGAAGATTTTGAGATGTACGTATACATAGTGTGTGTGTTATATATACACCAGCACCTTCAACAACTTCAAGTAAGACTGTTTTGAGATATACGTATACATAGTGTGTGTCCTGCCCCATTTCTCCTCAGCCAAGTGTGCCTGTCGAAAGATATATATGCGCACACCTCTACACATGACTAGTACACACATGCTACCATACGCACATTTATACATGCTCACACACACACACACACACACACACACACACACACACACAAACCC